ATAATTTTATTTGATATAATTTTTTATACTAGCAACTTGACATGAATCAATTGCCTCTTTGATAAGCTCGTCACATCCGATTTTTGTAGTTTTATGCATTGCTTGGATCATTTTTTCTCGGGCCTTTGTTTCATATATTTTATTCATCCATACCTGTATTAAGTGAACTGTGCAAAAAATTATAGCATATTCTTGCTCACCATCTCAGAGACCAGGAAATACTTTTGTAACACTATTGGCCTCAACATAGCTTTGGTTGGCAAGAATATATCGTAGTTTCTAATAGCTTTCAAATCTTTTTATTATTTTTAAAGCATCTGAGACCATGTCACTATCTTCTTTCTCAACAAAAAAGTGGCCATCAACATCTCAACAACTATACATATCCCGAACATACAAGGTAAAAAGGTGGCAATTATACTTGTTGGTTTTATAAGTCAAATTAATAAGAGTTAACCACCCATATTGTTTGAGTTTGATCAGTTGAAAGAGATGTATGAAAACAAAACCATAAGTAGCCCGACTAGAGGTTACATAATATTCAACATGATAACTTTGGTTTTTCAAAAAAAGAATGCTTTTTTCTATATCAATTTTTTTATTTTTATTACCCTCTAAATTATTATTTTGCACCTCACAAACTTTGTATTTAATATTTGTAACCTTGGTACATTTTAGCTCTTTAATACTTGAGCTCAGATTCAACACCCTAGTTGTATATTCTTTAACCGCATTTGTGATAGCAGGTGGTGGATAGTCTTTGGCTACTTCTTTCTCAACCAATTTACATACCGCTTCTGAGCGCTTTAGCTTTTCACTTTCATCAAGTGTATGTGTATGATTAAGACTTTCATTATATCATTCTACCTGCACTTTTTGAGCACTAACAAAATGTAACACCCAGATTTTCGCAGAGCAGAGATTAGGTAGGTGGACCTTCATTTTTTGATGCTTTTTAACAGGAATTCTTTCCTTTCAGCTACTTGAATTATTATGCTTCATTAATTGGCATGCAAATGCCTTTCAAGAATTACCATTGGTGAGGTTTTTATAGCTAAACCTTGTCTACATATTTGTAACAAGCGGTCACTATTCACGATCGAATTCATCCATTAATACTTCAAATGGTTCACCACTATTAAAGAGTAGTGCACGCCTTTGATCAGGAGTTGTGGATTGTGATGTATAAACTTTGAGCCTTTCATGTGCTGCGAGTGCTTTACCTGTCATGGATATTACTTGTACCTTATTTTCTTCTTCACTATCCTCCAATACAACCACTTCATTTTCTTCAAAAACAGTCTTTTCATTTCTCACCAAAATTTCTTCACCTTCATTAATTTTAATTTCTTCAAATACATTCCCTTCTCTTTTAGCAAAGTTACCCACCATATTAAGTAAAAAAAAAAACTATATATATTATATATATATAAAAAAAATAAAAAAAAAAGATCTGTAAGACACAATAATTTGTATAGACTATTCTATTGTGCAACCCACAACTACAAAACTATGGCACTATAGTATGAATATGCTTTCAAAAAAACACTGCTTATCATATAGCATATCAGTAACGATAATAAGAAAAGTTTTACACAACTACAAGAGAAAAGAGTATTTGAAAAAAAATAAAATAAAAAAGAAAGGATCTTGTTAAATATTGTGTAATTGATGGTCTGCATATCGACCAATAAAATTAATTATTTTTATTAATCTTTTTTATTATCATTATCATTATTATTTTTTATTGTTATTTTTTTTTTATTAATTAATTAATTTATCGTATTCTTTTTTTAAATACAATCGTTACATTGTCAAATTGTGCAACTATATACATTCCTAAAACTTTATTACACAATGAATCTCTTATATATAATGAACATTATTATATAGCAATAACTAAGTTTACTGTAATCTCTAAATAAAATACTCTAACTATTCTAATCTCTAATTCTAACTTTACCCTAGCATTATATACTACTCTAACCTTAAAATCTCAGCGATCTCCAATGTAAAAACAACCAGGAACGTCCTATAAAACACAGCATCAAAAATGTAGAAAGCTATCATAGAACACCACAAAATACTATAGAACATGCTCCAAAAGGTTATAGAAAACCATACCAAAATACCGTAAAAACCCACCAATGCATATCATAGTAAACCTACCGCAAAACTATATAGAAAGAATTTTAAAAAAAATTATTAGCATTAGTCTATTAAATAGGAAAACTATTCTCAATCATTTGACTTCAATGAAACTGAGGCCTACAAAAAAAAAATGCATTAATTTTTATTGGAAAAGAAAAAAGAATAACGAACATAGCAACAATATTTACACAACAACAATATTACATGCTAACAATGAAAGCAAAAACAC